GAAAAAAAAAAAAAAAAAGTGATGTTGTTTTTTTTGCCGATTTGAACTTGGACGACGAGGATGTCATTAAGTTTTTTTTTTGCCGTTTTGAACTTGGACGACGAGGATGTTTGAACTTAAAGTGTGACCCAGGAGCAGTTATCCCTTCTTTTTATCGTCTATTTTTTTGTAACTGCCTCCCACGTTGGAGAAGTGCTCGCCACGTCGGACGGGATCCTCGGGAAAGGACTCCAAGGAGGCAAGCCAGCCTCCACTCTAGGGCTAATCTTTTTCATCTGGAGGACGAAGGAGACTGCATACACAAAACGGCGGTGCAACTACAACATCTTAGCGGTCCTATACAGAAGATGCCACATACCCTGTCTATGTCCCTACTGCTATACAAACACCACGTATGACGGAAAGAATGTAACTGCTTACGATTTTATTTTATTTTTGTAGCACGGCAAGGCGCTTTGCGCAACGCCTGGAAGTCTCGAAAACGCCCCCACCTCCCCCAAAAGTCTGGAAATCCAGATCCACGTGTATCAAAACAAAAATCTAGTAGCAGCCTCGTCATTCGTCGCCGCTTTCCCTCATGGGCACGACCACACACTTCATCATGCGGGCCTGTAGATGCGAAGTGAGATGTGTGGTTCCTGTCTGGACCGGCCTCCGCACGTGATAGAAAAAGTCGAGCACATAGTAGAATACGAGGTTAGTGGGTCCAGGCCCCAGGGCATACACACACTACTACTTTCCAGAATATATCGGACCAATATTACATCCAAATCCGTCTTTGTTTTCCTTTTTCTTTTGGTTTTGTTTCTTTCTAAGATGCCGAGCCTCCCAGCCCGCTGCACGCCAAGTCCTACCGAACCGCCGTCGGTCTTTTTTGTTTTCTTTTTGGCTGTGGCCTCCAGCCAATGCGGTCCGGGAGCCCGAAGCCCAAAGCCTGAATGCCGTGGCGCGTTAAGGGGGAAACGCCACGGCGGATAGCTGGGCCAAGTACTTGTGGTTTAAGGCTACCAAGACACTGCCAGGAAATGCTATCTCGCGGTGTGATTGGAGCAGTTGAAGAGGACCCAAAATCCAGGCGGCCGCAACCTTGCCTGTTGAGACATGGGGAAGCAGTGTGAGCAGTCCCACTATTTTCCCAAATTGGGCAGCCCATTTTTTCAAGAAAATACAACTTGGGGTACGCAGTGTGAGCGTGCCCTGAGCTAGGAAAGGACAGCGTCAACCGCATATGCAGTAAAACCACCATCGCCCATGTACAGAGCGCACACGTAGACACAAGCAAAGGGCTAGATTGCTGTACTTTATCACATTAGCAAAAGAAGAAAACACGTAGACAGTGGTACCTTATCAGTGTTATCACATAGCCCTGAGCTGAGCTTGTTGGTAAAATCTTTCTGCACACAAGGTTTCTCTACTCCTCTGGTAACGACACGTGGGTGTTCTGCACTGCCGAACCTTCTTTTTTTTTTAATTTAACTTGATCCGCACCGCCGAACTTTTTTTTTTTTTTTTTAATTTAACTTGACGCATTTCTCGATTTATTTTTAACATCCTTGCGCAGGGGGCCATCATGGCATGGTTCCAATTTTCTCGATTTCAATGCTTGAGGGCATACTCACACTGCGACACTAATTCCGCAAAATATGCGGATTATGCGGATTTGGGAAAGGCCGATTTGAGGTTCTAGGCCTGGTTCACGTCACACTGCTGTACCTTTCAGATGGGACAAGGTCGCGGCCATCTGGAGAAGTAGGGATTTGGTACTTGGCTGGTCACTCGGCGCCATCCACAAATTGTGCAAAAGCTTTTGTGTACGAATTTTTACCATTTTTGAAGAAAATGCGGAAAAAAGGGCACGACCGCGGAATCCCTTTTCCTCGCTGACAAATGTCCACACCAACCTCGGCGAATCTGTGTGATCTGTCCGCTACCCTTTTTTGGAGGGGATTGGGGATTATAGGTCCCGTGAGGGAATGTGAACTTATCGAAAATCGGGATTGATCTGCGTTTCTGCATCTCTGCGTAAAACGCACCCTCAATCCATTCCTCTGCACTATTGGGACCTCGCCCGGGAAAGACAAAGCAGAAATGAAACAAAGGTCATCTTGGGCTCACAATTATTTTCTTAGTTTGTGAGATCACTGAGATCTCCTACAAGAAAAAGGAAAAGAAGACGGGAAGGGGGGAAAAGAGCGAAAAAAATGTTCCAGGCTTTTCTAAAGAAAAAGAAAAGAGAGAAAAAGAAAACACGAGAGGACGGATTGGGCTGAAAGCGGCAGAGTGAAGCGAAGCCTTGTCTCACTCACGACGACCCCATGACTGCTGCGAGCAAGTGTATAAAAGCGAACCGAGCTGCCTCGACTAGACTTAGACTCGACTGTCTAGCTAGCTTACATCGCACACGCACTCGCAATCCATGTTGGTTGCTTGCACGCACACTGGTAGGAGAAACTTCGATGAGTGGGGGGTCGAGCGGAGCAGCGAGTAGTTGTGTTTTGCCGCTGCTTTGGTGTCTTCAGAGGACCGCCTTTCTGTCACACGTAAGGAAAGCGCGTTCAGGGGGAGGTGGAAGCTGAAGGAGTGAACAATAGCGCACTCAGGGGGAGGTAGAAGGTGAAGTAGCGGAGGATGGCGCGCTCTGCGTTTCTGCTGGCCTTGCTTCTGGTCGTTGTTGCGGTTCAGGCAAGTGCGCAGGCTCCGCCGGAGGTGACCATCAGCTATGTCAACTATGCAGGCTCAGGCTGCAATTATCAGAACACCAACTACGTGCTGTCAAACGACTACAAGACGGTCACCTTCATGTTCGGCGGGATGGTTGCGACCACGGACGGGTCGCTCGCCGACAAGAGGAAGTCTTGCCAGATGTCTTTCAATATGATCTACCCGGATGGCTGGAGCTTCTCCATCGGTCAGGCCACGGGCCGCGGCTTCGCTGACATCGCCAAGGACTCCGCGGGCATCTACGAGTCACACTACTACTTCTCGGGACAAACGGGTACGGCGAGGATCGAGCGCAAAATCGGAGGCCCGAAGGTTGGCAGCTTCGAGTTCACGGATGACTTCCTGACGTTTGTGTGGAGCGAGTGCAACAATGCACCCAATTTGAACATCAAGACGGTGGTGAGAGTGGAGGGCGCCAAGGCTGTGATGGCTCTAGACTCCCACGACACCAAGTTCCAGCTCATCTTCAACCTCCAATGGAGGCAGTGTCCGCAGAACTGAGAACCCCACCCACCATCTCGCAGGTGGAGGATAGCGGGTGAGAAGGGTCGGAGATGTGGGCAGCTGTGCCGTCTTGGATATCTTTAGCGGAATCAGAGGCGGAGGCTATGGGGTATGCGCAATGCAGTTTTTCGAGAAGATCCAAGCTGCGGCACTGTTTTAGCAGTCGTGGTTGTGGAGGAAGAAGGCAGGGTGGGTGGTTGGCATTGCAGCGAGAGAGTAAAGGTAGTTAGCCACATCAGCAGATGTAGTCTGGCCGGTCAGTACCTCGTTTCCGTATTCCGCCTTACGGCGTGTCCGCCTGTGTGACTGCCATTCGTCCTCGATAGACCTGTTAATACTAGCTGTTTAATCTACGTGGCAAATGTGCAGATCCGGGGCAGATTACGCCACACTGCTTAAGCTCTCTCTCTCTCTCTCTCTCTCTCTCTCTCTCTCTCTCTCTCTCTCCCCTTTTGTTATGTCTGCCCTCACAGATTTGTAGATCTTCTTTCCACCGAGTATCCCATCTTAGTTTTCCTTTCGTCGTCAGTTCACCCCGTGATGTCGGAGGAGTTATGCCTCTTTGCGCGTGGGTAGCAAACGAGGAGGTCAGCAGTGCCCTGTTGTCTTGGAATTAGTTCGTTTTCTTCCGTTCTTGAGTTTTTCGGGCGGAAAAGGGGAGGGATCCGTTATCGGAAATCAGTTCTCGCTTGTAAGGAGGGAGTTGAAATGTCTATGTGGGATTTCCCGCCCTCACGCGAAAGTATTTTAGTGTATATCTCCTGTGGTGAGCTTTGCACAGTGCCGTCAAACCCTGATTAGCCGATGAGAACCGTCTTGTGTGTGACCATCGCCTTCCGAACTCGGGATCACATCACCCCTGTCCCTGTCTTCGGAATTGGTTGTCAGGAATTACAGTGTTTTGTTATCTCAGAAGATGACGATGTGTAAAAAATGTTTTCTAACCTCCTTCTCCTCAATGAGCTTGGTGAACTCTTCTCATTCTCTGTGTGTGCTTGATCTATGGGTTTCGCTCATTACAACCTTCGCTTCCGTTTCGTTATATACGATTTGTTGTTCCAGTAGCTGTGAGCATACCTTCTTCCCTCTGGAAATTGAGTCGTCCTTTAGAGCTGCTGTCGTGAGCTCGGTGCAACGCAATATTTTTTTTGAGACTACTGCGCCTGTGACCGCTGCACATTTTCGAATTCGCAGGAATGACAGTCCACTGCAAGCTTGCGGGAAGACCAGTGAGTTTCCATCTGGACGCGTTCGTGGAGATGTGCGGTTGAGAAAACCCAATGCCATTTCTGCACATATCCACAGAGACGTCCAGATTCAGGAGTTGAGGAAACTCTGCGCTGTTAGTGGGACCTGGCCCCAGTTCGAAACTGCAAGAAAAACAGTAAACCGCGCGGTCTACAGCCTATCGCCGCTACAGGTTCGATAATTGGCGAAAAGGGGGGGTGGCGGTCAAGTTGTTTTTTTTTTTTTTTTTTTTTTTTTTTTTCCATGAACGTCAGGATGTCCATTGCTCCTGCCTTCCGGGTGTAAGAGCCCCGGAAGATAGGAGTATGGCACTGGTCGACGTCTCCGCTCTATTCGTGGGAAGCTACACCTGCTGGAAAGCGGGTCCAGCGTCCCTTTCATTCAGTGTTCAAAAGGGATTGCATGCTTGCCCCCCCTTGGTCTCTTAGGGACATTGGGAGGGAACTCAGCCTATTGTTAGGACTTCACCTTTCGGCGCCAGATACGCGAGTACCCTAGTCCAGGGCTGAATTACTGCCTCAGTTAGTGGACCATAAACTTGCTAGACCTGGATAACAGAGGAAAAAAAACCTCCAGCCCAATTCTGCAAGGGGGGTGATCTCCTGAACTCAGACTAACAATACTCCAGAAACATTCCGAATATTCACTGGGCCATGACCGGAACCATGTTAACCTTTCTAAGCTAATTTGGGGACTAACGTGTCCCCCAAACAGGGGTCAGTTTTCACGGAGGCCGAGGGCCCATCAACCATGATTCCAGAACAACGCCGGATGGTTTAGTCCTCAGGAACCTGACTTTCTGTCCCCAGGTTCGGAAGAAACGATCCCTGGCAGATTTCTTGCATCGTGCTCGTCTGGTACGCCTCCAATCTATCCAGACCAGCGAACGAACATTTTCCAAGACCAGATTCATAATGCCTTAGTCTGAGTAGAATTTTGATCTGAAAATTCTATCATTCCTGAGCGTCCAAATAACCTGCATGATAGCAGCTCTACAGGCGGTGGCAACGTACACCCAACCCTGACCTATTTCTGCTTCATAAGGCAGTATACCTTCCACCACAAAACTTTCATCCCATTGAACCTGATCTTCAACATGTTTGAGCCAAATCCCTGCCCACCATACCCAAATTCTTTTGGACTCTATGCAATCCCACCACAAATGGGTCGCATGTGATAAGCTCAGATCCGTACCGCGCGGCTTGCCGTATCCCTGAGGAAAAATCCCGTGGAAGCCCCGAAGTACGGACGCGGATAGAAAGGGGTTTTTCTTTCTTTTTGCTTTTTGTTTTCTTTTTGAAACGGCTTTTTCATTTTGTTTGGTTAATAACTCCCGCAGGCAAATAGCGGCCGCGGTATGAAAACCAAGGAACGGGTGCGGTTGGGACTTTTTGAATTTTTGCACGCGCGCCCAAGCTCCGATTTCTTCGCGCGTCTCGCATCCCCGTTTCTTGCTTTGCATCCTCGCGCCATCTTCCCTTCTTGCTGCGCGCGTTTTCCCCATGCAGGACTCTTCGTCTTCCCCTACGCCCAGCTTGATCCTTACCCCGTCTTCCTCCGCGAAGTGATTGGCTGCGTAGTTGGGATGCTCGAATCAATGTGGAAAGCGGGAAACCACGCACCACTTGGACGAACACCCCAATCACGTAGCCATGTAATCCCGCGGGTCGAACCCTCTAACTCCCCACCTCTCTCTCCTGTCCTGCTCATCTACACCCTGCGCTGCCCGCACCTCGCGCTGTTAACCCGCCCCCTCCCGCGCTATAAATTTGCGCAACCCGCTCCTCTCCTCCTCTTTGATCTCGGCTGCAATGCTGCGCGAGCTATGAGCAAGAGTCCGCGACGCCGAACAGGCTCGACGAGCCCAAGGACGGGCGGAGTGACAACGTGGGGTGGACCCCGCGGTAGTCTCGGGGCGAAGCAGTCGGAGGGACTGAGCAGTGGTGGGGATTGGACGCCGTCCGCGGCAGGGCCCTGTGGCTATGGTGGTCGGTGGTCTTGGGAAGTTTTGAAGGCTGCGCCTGGGGGCAGCAGTTAACTGAAATTTTTGTGTACAAGAAGGACTCGCTTTTATCTCCATTGCTGCTTTGTCTATGCATGTCGTGTGTCTGAAGCCCCGAGTGATGGGAGCTGGTTATGCGCATGAATGACGTCGAAGGTCCATGGATGATTAGATGACCTGTCAAGGGTTGTTGATTGCATGCATGTATGTGTGTATGTACTCGTCCGGGCGGGGATGGGGAAACTGAACTGGGGGACCGTCTGCTTAGGAGTATGAGTGTGTTGATCCGATTGTTCCCCTCCCCTCCGCGGCCTTTCCTGCGCTCTCGCGCGGTCTTGGCGTAACTCTCTCTCTCTCTCTCTCTCCCTTTTCGATCGCCTTCCTTTTGAACTAACAATCATCGCCTTTTAGAGCTTCTCGTCCCCGTMCCGGTGACGTCAACCGCCTGCGTCTGCGCGGACGGTCGACGCCGCCACCAAGAGGAGAAAGCTTAGATTTCGTCATCCTCCCCCTACGCACCCACTTTTGAGAGAGAAGAGTTGCGACGATTGTTGTATGGATTCGGTGTTGGTTCGGATGACCGGGAACGCGGGATCTTGCCCGTGCTCATCACGTACCTCCGATCGTCTCATTTCGCTATCACCTTCCCCATCACAGATGACGACAGCGTCTACTGCGATATGGACGTACAGCGCGCGCTGAGGCGGACGGAGCAAGTGTGTTGGCAAGACCCACCTCGGGCTTGTGAGATAAGGGGGAACGGGTTTGTGTTGATTGATCGCTTTGATTCCCCGACTCTAATATTGCCTTATACGGGTTTACGGTGTTGCCCTCGTCGGCCACTCACGCCGCGTGGCGACCGTAGTTTGATTGTCGCTGGTGTCGCCAGGAGGACTTGTGTTTGTGGCGACGACTAGTCCTGGGTTACGAGGGAGCGACACGTTTCCCAGAGCTTTCCCGTAGTGCGGGGGCGCTGCCCGCGCCATTTTGAATTCAGATGCCGGCGAGTCCTCCCTCCGCTTTACCCTCCCGGAACCTTTCGCGCGGGCTCTATGAGTCCGACGCCGAGGCTTGAAGGCCTTAAACCAACCACCTCTACAGCAAAAGACCCGAGGGTTCGGCCACTTTGTGAGGCCGATGACGAGGCCTGAAGGCTTCGAACCCACCACCTATCCCCGGAACCCATGACGGCCGGAGTTTTTGCCGTCTGCCGCCATGGCCTCCTTCCCTTGATGCCTTTTCCCGTCCCGATGCACGACGACAATTCATTTTCACAGAAACCCTTCTGATTTTATCGTTTCAGAGTAATCCGACCCCCGCGGGACTTCGCGACGACAGTTCGACTCCGAGAAAAACCTCGGCCAAGAAACGAGAG